TAAGTACACTTTTTTTTTTTTTTTTTTTTTTACACATTTTTCTTCTTTTCGGTGTCTTCATTTCATGAAACAGTTTGCAAATCAATTTGAAATTCTCTATGGTCTTCTCCTTCTTCTCCTTCTCCTTCCTCTCCTTCTCCTTCTTCTCCTTCTCCTCCTCCTCCTCCTCCTCCTTCTTCTTCTTGTCCTTCTCCTCCTCCTCCTCTGGGTGTGCGGACTGTACTGTCGTGCCGTAATTTTCTACGATTAAATTTTGTACTTTGCCAATTCTGTCTCTACTTGGTCTTCTTGTACTTTGCCGATTTTTTGTCTCTACTTCGTCTTCTTGACTGAGTTGGTGACTTGATTGGACATGCCTTACTTGTACTGCGGGATTTCCTGACCACACTGACTACACTACCCTCCTCCCCCGAACATAGCGCACCCTGATTCTGAGTGAATGCAAACCATATCCATATTTCCGGTTACTAGGTGCAGTCATTATGAGGGTGCGTTCTGTTCGGGGGAAGACGGTCGTGATAACCATCCACGATGCCGAGGATAAATTTGCAATTGAGGAGGATGGACGGATTCCGTTCTGTTTGCTTGTTTCTTTTTTTGCCTGTCTAGCTCCACAAACGACGAGGTCGAGATCGAGTTCGAGATCGAGTTCGAGATCGAGTTCGAGATCGAGATCGAGTTTGCCAGACATCAAGTGCGAGTTGAAATGAAATGAGTGTCACCCAGCTGTGTCTGCTACATAGGTTCAACAAGAAGAAGGTTTGGGTACTTAAGAGTATTCAGGTTACCCGTGAGCTTGCTGTTGGAGGGGGAGGAGGGAGAGGGGAGGAGGGAGAGTGGGGTCGACAAAGTCATCAATTGGTGGAGGAGTGAAGGCAGACAAGCTGAGAGGGAGAGGGAGAGGGAGAGGAGAGGGAAAGGAAGAGGGAGAGGGAGAGGGAGAGGAGAGGGAAAGGAAGAGGGAGAGGGAGAGGGAGAGGAGAGGGAAAGGAAGAGGGAGAGGGAGAGGGAGCGTTATGTGAAGTTATATATGGCTTGTGTGTCAACGAATAGTGTCACTCATCAAGGTCGGGCGTGATGGTGAAGGCACTGAAGGGGTGCAAGACAGGTCAGCAATGTCAGTAGCGTCTACAATCATGTCAGCAATTGTAATGCAGCCGCGTGCGTGATGGTGAAGGGTTACGCAAGTGACGCCGCGAGGCATTAGTCAAGCAGCCAATTTGATTACCTTTGTGTGTGTATATGTTTGTGAGTGAGTGAGAGAGAGAGAGCGTGGGTGTGTGTGTTTGTGTGTGACATTGTGTGTTTGTGTGTGACACTCTGTGTGTGTGTGTGTGTGACATTGTGTGTTTGTGTGCGACACTCTGTGTGTGTGTGTGTGTGTGTGTGTGTGTGTG